CAAAAAAAAAAATTACTGTTGGCTGTAGTATAACATATATTAACTAAATACCAGGTTGGGTAGAGAGATTTAAATCTTTAAATGAATCTTTTATATATATATATATTGAAACAAAAAGCAACTAAATTTTACTTCTTGTGCTTTTGCTAATAGATATATAGATTTTTTAAGGGGTTATTTATTTAAACGGAATATTGATTACACTATGAAATTTAGGGGCGATTAAAGATTATGAATTGATATAAACTTAATTATTAGATTAGGATAAATTTAGTACTCACATTCTCAACATATTTTGACCTAACTCTTCTAAATTAAGTATTGTGCTTGATAGGGTAATATCTAAATCAAGTGATCATAATAGTTGTACCATTAATAAACAAGCCTTTGAACATATTTTTGAAGCTGGGATGACTCAATTGAGGATCGAGAGATTCGAACTCATGATCTTTTGATCAGACACGTGCTAATTACCCCGAAACTAAATTCACGTAGGCTGAAATTCTTCATCATTCTGTAATTAACATGTAGTAATTTGGGGTTCAGTTTCCTAGATAGTCGGTGTAAATGGAGTAGTGAAATTATTCTAGTCTGCAACATTAATGCATGGTGTGCAGGCCTGCCCTCAATATTAAATCTCAATGGCTGAGGAAAAAAAAAGAGAGAATGGAGTAGCTCCTGCAACTGAGGAAAAGTTACCTTAAAAAACAGTCTTTTGGTATGATTAAGGAATGCATGATTTGGGTTTAAGAAGTCAGACCAACTAAAACAGCAACACGACCAAATAGTAAACCTAGCTAGACCACAATCCCAAGAACTGCCACATATATAATTATATATCCAGGAATAAACAAATTTAACTTCATTTCCTTTTCTGCGATTTCCCTTAATTCGAGGAGCTTATTGTGTTGTGTGTGTATATATATATATATATTTTGTTAAAATACTCTTTTTAATATCTACGCAGCAAGCATAGTGTAAATTTTAGTGGCCTAAACTGAGCAGTTCAGCAATAATTGACATATATCTCCAAATAAGAGGTTGTGAATTCAATCTCGTAACCTCACATGTTGTATTCGAAAAGAAAAATTTATCATCGCCCTAACGTACGTTGACTTAATATATATATATATTGTTGAATAGTTAGCATAGTCTCGAAATTATGTAGAATTCATGACGTGGGATTTAGTTTTAAGGATATGGAAGGTTATTTTAAGGGGTAAGTACTATATATTTGCATTGTGTTCCAGAAAATAAGTACTATTTGTGTTGAAAACTAAGAATACTTGGTAATAAAATTTATATTCCCTACTATTTCTACCTTGCACTAGCCTGAAATTGGACACTAAAACATGACTGATTCACATTTTTGTCAATAATATGTTAAACAATATTTAAACAGCCTTTTTTTTAAAAAAAAAAATTCAATTTTTCCCTAATTAAGAAATCCATATGGGACACAGGTTCCAAAGTAATTGATTATTTCTAACTACASTATTTAAATCCTCTAATAATTACCATTGAAATTCATAAGTATTTTTTCAGATCGAAACATGTAACTTTTAAGATGAAGAAAAAAAGGGTCTACAACACAACACAGAAGCAAAAGGGAATAAATTCCATGGAGTGAGAACCAAAAACGTTATGTTATGTTTGTTTGTTTGTGTTTAAAAAGCATAAAATTGGGAAGTGATTTTGGTATGGGAATTCAGATGAGTGTGTGTTGTGTCAGTTTAATGTTTTTAGAGGCTTCTTTTTGTTTTGTTTTGTTGTTAAGTTGAAACATATCTGTGGAGTGCATTTCTATACCCCATGCATCCACTGCTCAAGATTCTACTTCTCACCCTAAAACTCAAATCAAAACCCATTATTTTTTCATTTAAAATTGATTTTCTCAAGAAAAGAAAAGATCAGAACAGAACAGAGAAGAGTGTGTTTGATCCCATCTACTGTAAACTGTAAAGAAGGAAAGAAAGAAAGAAAGAAAGAAAGTGGGCATTGTAGGATCAAAAAAGCTATGTATACTGTATCAGTGTGTCTGGGGAAAATTGGACAAATTTTTTTTGGTCTTTTCCTTGTTTGGTTTTTTGCCACAAACATTTGCTGCCAACTGGGGTAGATGTGTAATTACCCTTTTTCTCTTTTTCTCTCTCCGACAAATTGTTTTTTTTTTTTTAAATCATCACACACTTTAGCTTATTTATTTAGGAACTACTTCATTAAGTTACATGAGAAACATCCAAAAAAAAATAGAGAATTAAAGAAAAGCATTTCAATTTAAGAAAATTGTAGCTGGATACATAATTACACAAAAAAGGGATCTTGAAGAATCTTAATTTATAACTTACAAATATGTTGTCCTTTTGAATTAGTTTCCTAATATTTGAATGAGAATAATGAGAAAATGGTGTCCAAATTCACCTAATTAACACAACTTAAATTGAAAGGAGTAATTATCAACTCCATTGGATCTCAAAGTGAATGAGTGTAAGAATTAAACTAATAATGGTACATTGTTGCTACTTGCCTATAAAATTTGAGTGGTTGGGTTGAACCAATTTACCATGGTTAATGAAACTCATCTTAGCCTATATAACGAGACAATAGGGCTAGATCAAAGATATTGGGGATTTAAATACATATATATTTTTTACTTTTTACTTAATTATCACGTTAATCATCACTTAACTCAATAAATTATGATAAAATTTTCAATCCAAATAAAATTGATTAATACCATCATCCCAAAGGTTACAATATAATTTTTGATTTATGTGCAAGAATTTGGACTTAGAAAGCTCTAAACTCTCATACATTATTGATCCAAAAAACTTAAAAAAGAAAAGATAGTGAAACCAATTCAATCCAAAAAATTTAAATCCCACGTGTTAAAAGGTAAATTTTATATTTAACCAATTAAACTTATTGTGGATGACCCTATATCATGATCAAAAAATTTGACTGCTAGTGTTTCTACAGGATATATGGCCTTTTTTTTTCAAAATAATAATAATAATAATAGAAATTCTTTCAAAAAATTGATTCCTTGCTTTTCTTTTTAAGACTCATCATTTTTTTAATCATGTTTGTAGAGCTACTGTTTGAATTGTCATTGAAATGGGGTGGCAGGCGTAGTGAGTTATTTGTTGAGGATACTCTCTCCCCGATTTGAGCCACGAAGCGTGTAAGTGGAATTTTCTCCCCTCTTTTTTAGAGGTGCAAGTCTTTCGATATTGACAATAGTGTTGGGTGGCCCGTCAACCCTCCTAATTGTAGAAATCCAACTGGCAAAGCGGCACAATTACATCGATTTCGAGTTATAAAAAAAATAACCGAAAAGCCTACAAATTAATTACCTAACCACCTCATATAGATTGATTTTTTAACAATGAATTAATTAATTGTTATGTAAGACCAAGAAAATAAATTATATTATTATATATAGTCATGTCACATGCAAAGAAAGTAGCAGCACTGAGATCAGTAAAAAAAAATATGTTTTTACCACATAGAAGTGAAAAAAAAAGGGTCTGCCAACATTTTTATTCGCTAAATGGAAAGAATAAATTTATCTGCAAATGAGAAACGAAAAGTGGTGACCAATTCATTCAAAAGGATTTGATTGCACTTTATTAATTTTTTTTTCTTCTTCTTTCTCAAATAATACACAATTTGATGAGAGAAGCTTAGGATGCTCATGGCATTTATTCTACAGAGATCCAACAAAGTTGCCATTAAAATTTGTTCAATTATAGTTGA